TATATATATATATATATATATATATATATGCATGCATACACCATAAATAAATAAAATAAAAAAAGGAGACAAATAAAATATAAAAAAAAAAAAGGAGACATATAATATATAATATAGTGTCTCCTTTTTTTATCCTTATTATTTATATAAATATAAATAAAAAAAAGGGAGACAAATAAATAAATGTGTCTCCTTTTACGGTGTACGTACACCTCAATAATATTGCTGCAGTTGGTGCTGCTGTATACATCGCCAGAAACGGTCAAACCCTTGCTGCTCTTCTGCTGCTACAGTAGTACTTGCTGCTGCTGCTGCTGCTGCTGCAGCAGCAGCCGCAGCAGCAGCAGCAGCAGCAGCAGGTGACCCTAATTGTCCTTGAGGAATCATAGGTGATGGTGATGAAGGGGGGCCCCCTTGATTAAGGGGGGCCCCTGCTCCTGCGTACCAGGCACTCTCAACAGCTGCTGCTTCTGCTGCTGCTGTTGCTGCTGCTGCTGCTGCTGCAGCAGCAGCAGCAGGCTCTCCTGCAGGGGCCTCCTTATATACCTGATAGACAAGATCGCCATCTTCTTGCTCTGTATTGCATAGTACCCTATATGTCTCGGGGGCCCCCTGGGGGGGCCCCCCTACATTGGTACCCCCTGTAACGGCAGCAGCAGCGGCAGTAGCAGCAGCAGCAGCAGTAGCAGCAGTACGTGCTGCTGCTGCTGCTGTTGCTGCTGGTGTAGATGGTGCTGCTGCTGCTGCTGCTGTTTTCTTACCTGCTGCTGCTGTACCACAAATAAGTTGTGGTAAGGACATTGTCTCTTCTTGTTGCTGCTGCTGTTGCAGCTGCAGCTGCTGCAGTTGTTGCAGTTGCTGCTGCTGATGCTGCAGCTCCTCTTGCTGCTGCTGCAGCTCCTGCTGCTCCTGCTGCAGCCATATCCTCCATAGACCATCAAAGTTAACAGAGACACCAGGGAATTCTCTTAGGGGCCTCAAGGAGACACCTAAAGGAGACACTTTTGCTGCTGCTCCTGCTGCTGCTGTTGCTGCTGCTGCTGGTGCAGGTGCAGGTGCAGCAGTACTATACACCTCATTACTGCTGCTGCTGCTGCTCCTTGCTGCTCCTCCTTGCTGCTGCTGTTTATACCCTGGCTTCTGCTGCAGTCGCGGAAGGACGGTTGTCTTACTGTTAGGGGTAGGGGGGGGCCCCCTATTAATATTATTAAGAGGGGGGGCCCCCTTATTTATATTATTATTATTATTATTAATATTATTCTTATTAGGTAGAGGGGACTTGGGGGCCCCTTTTGTTGGTGGGGGCCCCTGTGGTTTCTTCTTAGGAGGTGGAGGAGGGGGCCCTCTGAATGGAGGAGACGTTTGCTGCTGCTGCTGCTGCTGCTGCTGTTGCTGCTGCTGCTGCTGTTGCTGCTGCTGTACCGGTATGGGGAGCACAGCCGCTGGAGGGGGCCCCCATGGGGAAGGAGGAGGAGGTGGTGGTGGTGGAGGAGGGGGCCCCTTTGTTGGCAGTGCAAATGGCATACCCAGCGGCTGCTGCTGCTGCTGTTGCTCCTGCTGCTGTTGCTGCTGCTGCTGTTGCTGCTGCTGCTGCTGTTGCTGCTGCTGTTGCTGTTGCTGTTGCTGTTGCTGTTGCTGCTGCTGCTGGTGCTTGGGCTGTCTCCTCCCTACGTCCCATGGTAGGGCCCCTGCTTCCTTAATCATTTTATCTGCTGCCTTAGGTGTCCTAGGTATTTCCTTTTTCTCTTCATGGGGCCCCCCTCCTGTGGGGGCCCCTAAAAGAGAAGAGGGGCCCCCTCCTTGGGGCCCCCCTTCCCCTGTATGTGATGGGGTACTACTGTGGGCCCCCTCATGATGACTTTCTTCTCCTTCTTCTTCTTCTTCTTCTTCTTCTTCTCCTTCTTCTTCTTCCTTATGTATCCATGGTAATAAATCCTTATTAATAAAATTAGGTAACCAACTAGATAATAAATTGTCTCCTTTTGTCTCCTCATCTTCTTCTGTCTCCTCTTCTCCTGATTGTCTCCTTCCCTTTGTAGCAGCAGCAGCAGCACCAGCAGCAGGTGCTGCACTAGCAGCAGGTGCTGCAGCAGCAGCAGGACTAGGGCCCCATTTTGCTGGTGGTGGTGGTGGAGGTTTAGATCCAGGGTACTCATTGGGGCCCCCTGAGGGTATATTTGGGGCCCCCTTGGGGCCCCCCAATATATTATTATTATTATTATAATTATTATAATAAGAGGCCCCTCCTCCTCCTCCTCCTCCTCCTCCTCCTCCTCCTCCT